CACGATGAACCCCTATGTTGTGGAAATGTGCAACTAGAGTGCATATTCTGTCAAAGATGTCCCTTGGTGTTGATGTAGTTGTTATGTCGTTCCCGCCTATCTGTATAAATACTGTGTTGGGTTTGTGTCTGGCAACTGCGTTGAGTAGTTCAGGATCCATTCTATCTGTACGAAGTCCCCCCTTCCCACAAAATACTGTGCATACTCCTGGAACGTGAAGATCTCCATCTGAAAACCTCCTTAGTCGTTCAATAAAACTGCTTCCAAACAAGACGGTTACTGCCATGATTGTTGTATCACAAAAAATTTTCCCTTCATTTATATGATTTGATAATTATTGACCCATACTATGATTAGCTTGGGATAAGTGTTCACTTTCTTTTTGTTTAACTTTTATAAACCAATTATTAAAATGATACATTTAGGTGTCATCAAACATCATGTATTCAGCTTCTAATGTGTCATTATCATGAGTGATTGTTTATTAAGGGAAATCAATTCAGGAGTTTATTGATTACTAAATAATAACTGTTAAAGCCATGCATGCACTGTTGTTTGGACAGGTGAGACACTCCTCAGGTGAGCTGTCAACCACTCTTGTTTATTCAAGTGATCACTAATAATTGCTAATAGGTGCGAATTTGTTGTCTGGCAGTACCTGTTGCTTTTATTTAGTGATTAAGTAATCAACACTGATTTTTTGAATACTTTTTAACATGAATGAAAACAATTCAGTAAAAATTATATCATATAAATATGGGCATTTCACTCAGTACAAATCATACCCATTGCAGAACCCTAACAGGTAACATATTGTTCATTTCTTTATATATATATAGTGCTTTTTTTCAACTGTGTACATAATTAAGGTAAAATATTAATTGTGTTATTTTTGTTTAGACTTTAGTGCTGTCAATTATGTCTGTCCTTGTAGCTGGTGATTCGCAGGCAAAATATTTTGATAGTTATCTTTCTGAAAATGATGGTGCTAAGGTGTTGTTTAGGAGTTATGGGAAAATAGGAAATATTTGGGGATTGATCAGGGATGTTGTGTGTCATCATGATGTGCTGGTTATTCATAGTGGTAAAGACAATCTGTCGGGTGGAGATAGTGTTTCGGATATTCTTAGGTCATTTCAAAGTCTTGTTGAGAAAATTATGTTTTCCTTGTTTGTTAATGACATGGAATCAGAACTTCTTTTCTCCAATTGTCAAATATATCATATACAACTCCTTTATTTGTTTTTAATCATGTATGCAGACGATACTTTTCTATTTTCTGGAGACATTGTTGAGCTCCATTTTTTTTTAAAGAGTTACTTGGATCATAGGAACATGACCATGAATGTCGATAAGACCAAGGTAGTGGTTTAAAAAAGTAAAGTATTATTACCAAATGAACGGTGGTATTTTGATGGAATATATATAGATATTGTAGATCAGTTTTGTTATCTAGGACTGGTATACAATTATGGCGGTGAATTTACAATAGCACATAATAGCATAGCTGCACAAGGTAGAAAAGCATATTATCTCCTCAATCGTGTGTGTGTGTGTGAGGGTGTGTGTGTGTGTGTGGGTGTGTTAGGGTGCGTGTGTGTGTGTGTGTATGTGTGGGTGTGTTTGTGTGTGTGTGTTTTAAATTATTATTCCATAGTAACAACAAAATATATCATACACTGTATGTGTTTACATATCATCATTTGACAGGTTCCTTCATAAACAATGGTCAGTTTTGTTTATAAATGAAGCATGTCTTTTAATACCACGAATTTAAAGATTTACCCCACGTTCTTCGGATTTAAAGTATCAATACGACAAACACATATAAACAAAAGCACACTGCTGAGACGGATTGAAGCACGCGAGTACGTACTGTGGAGGAAACGGGAAAACAAAAGAAAGAAACCCCGCGGGGTCGGGCAGGTGACTTCATACCTTTTCACACCCGATGAGGAAATCAAACACGGGTCACCAAGGTGAAAGTTGTGTTACCACCCGTCCTATCAAATATATTTAATTTTACATCACGTGACTGTGTGTATTTACCACAACGGCTACAATTGGTTGTTATTACGTAAAAGTGACGGCTTAGTCTGGGAAAGATAGACTTGTCTGGTTTCAGTACATGTATATAAAACAAAACTTAAGGTAAATATTTAAATTAGCTTTTCTACAGAGGCCTTCGTATAACGTCTATAGACGAACATAATTCAACAAAAGGTAGGGAATACTCCATTTCGGCATTTGTCAATGTCAATTGTGAAGTACTGTAATCTTCGATTCCATATTCACGCACCATCAATGGTCGTTTATGTGAAATACGTGAAATTCTAAAGGCGATATTTGAAATCGATAAACATGTTAATAATCTATTACAAACCAATCAGTCATGAGTGATACATAAGGGTTATTTCAATTTTATTTCATTCCGTATGCAACAGCATATAAGATTGACAATATACATACAAATAATAACATTTACATTTACACAAGGTGGCGGAGAACATTAGCTCTAACCAACAAGATTAAGACACAAAATTCACAAGAATGCACAAATATCAAACATATAAACAGAGCGCTGTTCTGAAGCACCAGTACTCCGAAGTGTTACTTTTGACAAATGAAAATGTATAGATTATTTAAGAAACACTCAATTGCTCCAAAATATCTCGAATAATATAAGAAAAAAATAATTCAAGTCTTTGATCATTATTTTCTTTTTTCCGTAGCATGAATCAGAAACCTGCCAAAATTCCTGAGAGTTATTACTAGACAACAGTTGAATAATTTTACTTACAGATGGCCGGTGATTTAAGTAAGGCTTGATATATAAGATACGTAACTCTGAATAAGATGGACATTGTGAAATAAAATGAATTTCATGTTTTATTTCATTACTGTCGCACATAGTGCATATTGTTTGAGAAATATTAACACCATGGTATTTACCCGTTTATTCAACTTATGTGAGCTCAATCTATAGTTAGACAGTATCATTGTTATCAAAGTTAGTGGTTTGTTGAGGTACGACTGTGTTACAAACCGATCAACTATATGTTTATACAATGTTCACTTCGAGGAGTTTTCAAATCTAATTCCTAAGTTTTGAATAAATATATCCTGTATACGTTGTTTAGATATCAATAATAAATACTTTTCATTTGAAACACCTTGTGCCAACACGAAATCTAAATAAATCTTGTTTCGAATGAAAAATCCAATTTGCCTTACAATTAGGCTTCTTGGTATCAAGATCAACTAATTCATAATAACAAGTTCTTAATATACAATTATCTGTCTTCGAAAGTTGTAGCCAATACTTAACAATACTAAAATTTCGCTGAACTTAATAGGGAAAGAGACCTAGCTCGAAATACACCATAGAATAGTTAACATTTTTCTTCACACCCAAAAAAGATTTTAAAAACGACAAATGTTCCTTTTAAATCTGTGGTGTTATATCAAAGCCCAGACCTCGCAACCATAATTCAAAATACATGATACGTAAGTATCAAATAACGATAACTTAGGTTTTACATTCAAAACAAACTTGTTAATCCTTGTCACATGCCGTTTCTATGTATATAGTAAATCATTATTTTATGCCGATAAATGATTTATGTTAGCCCTAGAGTTTCAAATTAGCGCGCTTTTTCTTACCCGTCGAGCTGTACGGGGCGTACGTGCGCAGGTGCGACAGGTGAGAATAATACAGGTAAATAAGCACGCTTAGCGGGTGGAAAGACGTGGCTCACTACGACGCCTAAAATACAGATTGGGGTGAGTATTTTTAATTTGATTCATCCAAATATCACCTCACAACCTTATCACTAGTATTTGGATAGGTTTTTGTCTGTTTGAATGAGATTTTGAGTTTGAAAGGGTCGTTAAATGCCACCGCTATTGTTATGGATGACCGGGTACTACTGGCGCTCGTGCAGTTCTTTGTTTATTAAAAGCGTGTATGTTAACGAATTTCACTAGAGTTGTATATGTATTTAATGTGTGGTTGGTAATAATAAGTAATATTAGAATAGTTTATTATACATTAAGGGTAAATTACAATTCCTATATAGTTGTAGCTTGTTGGGCCAACACCGTAGCGATAACTGACACTGAAAACCCACTCGTTGTGTGTATGGAAGCCCTGAGGCGGGGTCAAGTATTGGTCAGTACCAAATACCCAGCGTATATGTGCCTTGAACTTCACCCTTAGTAATATGGAAGGGTTGGATATACTGTATGGTATATGATGTATCCATTTGTCTCGTGATATGAATCGACGACGTCAATTATTTGTATAGAGATGTATGGCGTCAGCGTTCTGGGAACGTCATCGCCGACGTGGGAACACAGTTCCACATGATGTCTTCTCTGGGGTCGATTGTGATGATCTGTTGATACCTGTTACTTGGCTTTGGATGTGTGTTCTATGTTCTTACGACCAGGTGTACTCAAGGATTCTGGGAATATTGCTTGGCTGTGACAGTTACTTATATCTGGAACAATTGGTTGACGTCGGACGACAGCGACGTTGTGGAGTACTCTACGGTGGCCTGACAGTGACTTTTAGGTTACTTAGTGTTGTTGTAGTTTGGTAGTCATTTATGAGTATGTAATTATGTATGCATGAGAGTGAAATGCGTATGTGGTGATATGACTAACAATGTGAGGATCATGTTTGTAAAAAATTGTCCGGAAATATTATTGTAGGAAAACTGTAAATAAATCTTGTGAATATTGTAGTCTGTCTTCTCGTGTGAATGTCACACAGTGGGCAGTTGGGGTTTTCCGTCATCCCCCATCGGTGGAGATTGGTAGGTGTTGGTAGGACATCATACACTGATCGCAGGAGGAACTGGATTCTACATGGTTCCAACTTCCAGATATCTGCCCATGTAAGACGTCTTTCCGTTGTCTCCCATTTGGTCCATGCTCCCTGTGCTCCCATTTCTACAGCTTTAACCTTCCTGATCTCTTCCTCCATCTTCCTGATGTTATCTTGAACCATCTTCCTTCTACCAGCCGTGTCTGCTGTTCCCCACCTTTCCACCCGCGTTGACCCTAACCCCTGTTTGCCTATACAGGTAGTCCCAACGATGTCGCTGTGCCTTAGCCTGCTCTCTGCTTCCTGTACCGCAATACTTGCTGACCACTTGCGTCCTGTTCGAGTCTCAATTCCAGCATTCCGGATCCTTTCATCTTTGGAGTCTCTAACAGTCATCACCAGCCTAACCTTTGCCACCTTGAACTCTTCTACCAGTGATGATAATGGGAGTTGTAATTTGCCTGTGGTGCTGTAAAGGCCCACACTGGTGAAACTTGGGGGGACTCCAAGCCAACGTCGTAGACATTTGCTAATTTTCCTTTCCAGGATTTCCACTGTGGTAGTGGTAACCTCGTACAGGGTTAGAGGCCACGTGAGGCGTGGTAGGAGCCCGTGTTGGTACATCCACGATTTGAATTTACCGGGCAGTCCTGATTTGTCAATTCTCCTCAAACCTTCTTCCACCTGGTTCTGCAAACGTTTGATATTCTTGTTGTCGTTCAGGCTAGCATCAAACCACTTTCCTAAACACTTGATTGGATTGTCTACGATTGTTGGGATCTCCTCCTGCTGTATCGAGAGCTTGAACTTTCTGGTCACTTTCCCTTTCTTTATCACAACACATCGAGATTTCCTTGGTTTAAACTTCATCCTTGCCCATCCAACTGTTTCCTCGAGTGCTGACAGGATCCATCGCGCCTGCACGTGGGTGGTAGTTGTTATGGTCAGGTCGTCCATGAACCCTCTGTTTGGTGGTACTCGCACTCCTGATGAAGTCTTGGGTCCTCTAGTCTCCCGGTCTGCCGCCTTGATGATCAGGTTCATCCCCATCACAAAGAGTATGACCGATATAGTGCATCCTGTTACAATATTTTCTCAAGTGCCTGCCAAGATGTTGTTATCTCCCTGACCGTGAATCGGAGCCTAATGTTGCTGAAGTAGCTCTTCACGATCTTCTGGATGATGTGGTAATGTTCCAGCGCCTTGAAAATCAACTGGTGGGGGACAGAACCGTATGCATTGGCCAGGTCTAACCAAACAACTGTCAAGTCTCCTTGATTGATCTTGGCTTCCCGAATTAGCTGTGTGATTGCGCTGGTGTGTTCAATACATCCAGGGAATCCTGGAATTCCTCCTTTCTGCACAGAAGAATCGATGTACTCATTCGATGTCATGTACTTCGTCATCCTCCTGGCAAGTATGGCAAAGAAGATTTTCCCTTCTACACTCAAGAGTGATATGGTTCTGAACTGGTTCATGGAGTACTGGTGCTTCAGAACAGCGCTCTGTTTATATGTTTGATATTTGTGCATACTTATGAATTTTGTGTCTTAATCTTGTTGGTTAGAGCTAATGTTCTCCGCCACCTTGTGTAAATGTAAATGTTATTATTTGTATGTATATTGTCAATCTTATATGCTGTTGCATACGGAATGAAATAAAATTGAAATAACCCTTATGTATCACTCATGACTGATTGGTTTGTAATAGATTATTAACATGTTTATCGATTTCAAATATCGCCTTTAGAATTTCACGTATTTCACATAAACGACCATTGATGGTGCGTGAATATGGAATCGAAGATTACAGTACTTCACAATTGACATTGACAAATGCCGAAATGGAGTATTCCCTACCTTTTGTTGAATTATGTTCGTCTATAGACGTTATACGAAGGCCTCTGTAGAAAAGCTAATTTAAATATTTACCTTAAGTTTTGTTTTATATACATGTACTGAAACCAGACAAGTCTATCTTTCCCAGACTAAGCCGTCACTTTTACGTAATAACAACCAATTGTAGCCGTTGTGGTAAATACACACAGTCACGTGATGTAAAATTAAATATATTTGATAGGACGGGTGGTAACACAACTTTCACCTTGGTGACCCGTGTTTGATTTCCTCATCGGGTGTGAAAAGGTATGAAGTCACCTGCCCGACCCCGCGGGGTTTCTTTCTTTTGTTTTCCCGTTTCCTCCACAATACGTACTCGCGTGCTTCAATCCGTCTCAGCAGGGTGCTTTTGTTTATAAGTGTTTGTCGTATTGATAATAATTTAAAACACACACACACAAACACACCCACACATACACACACACGCACCCTAACACACACACACACACCCTCACACACACACACACACACACCTCACACACACACACACACACACACACACACACACACACACACACACACACACACACACACACACACACACACACACACACACACACACACACACACACACACACACACACACACACACACACACACACACACACATACATACATTATTAACTCTTTGAAGGAGAGTAACTGTAAAAAAGAATTTAAAAACTAAACAAAAACAAAAAAACAGTGTCTAAATTTCAAGTAAGTCTTTCACTAGTTATCTTTTAAAATGGGTCAAACATTTCGTCTCCTTAAATTCACACGTAAAACATTCCAGATTCCAGTCTTTGATACTGAATATAAAATAGTGGTTTGAGTAGAATATGGTTTTATATTTTGTCACTAAAATGTTGTTTTCACAGGCATATATTGTAGCTCTATTGGCTCTATTGTGTCTATTTCTAACCAGCTGTTCTAACTAAAATATACATTGCTGAAAAGTAGTCAGGACATCTTCTTGAAAATATCTAAGAAAAATCATACATAGCTTTCTAAAACGAAAAATATTTATCGATAGGCATCCATCGTAAAATTTCAAACATCTGTTGAAGGCGTATCGAATGGTACATTAAAAATAATCCTGGTTGCTTGTTTCTTCGCCTTAAGGACCGCTCCCCGACTTACCCCTACCTGACCGTGATATAAAAATGGTTTGTTTAAGTGTGTGCTGTTGAAACTCGATAACAGGTTATACATTGATATGACAATACAAGGCCGGTAGCTCGAAGACTATGAATGCTGTTGATAGACATTCCTATAAATAGATAGAGTATAACTAAACCTTTTGTCGTATATAATGCGAACAGAAAGTTGATCGAGACGATGGCAGTTAGACAGGTATTCGTTGGACTTGTAATTCTTGTAGTATCAACTGTGATTGTGTGGAATTTTGTCACCTACAAGTAAGTTATGTTGATACAATTCGATTATTATTATCTTTATTTCCTCCAAATATGAAGATTTACAAAGACAACAATATAAACAACAATAAATTACATAAATTTACACGCGTACACACCAACACGCACATACATATATATACAGTTACAATATGTTTTGATAGTTAATTAGAGGTATTTCACTACTTTCAACACATTTTCAAGATATAGGGTTTTGGTACTTATATGTACCAGAAAAACAGATTACTGATAATGGTTTTTCAACATTTGACATACATATGAGATAGCGCCTAATCTGAAATGTTCCATTTTCTCTGAAGATAAATCATACTTTAATAGACTGCCTAACAGAGCATTAGTTAATTCGAAATCCGATAAGTTATGTATATGGACACTGAATTGAATATCTGACATGTTAATAACATAGCACCATAATTCGTCTCTAATACCTGCATTTGCATCACAATTTAGAACAATATGAGTTATAGAATCATTGTAAAATTTTCCACAAACATGACACAATTCCGTATTGGTAGACCTGCGAGAGGTTACACACCATCTTAAAATACAATGTATAGATCTAGAGTACTGAGGATATTTTGCAGCAAGTTTCCATAAGCAATGTGACTCTAGCTTGTTATGAATCTACGCGAACCGGAAGAAGTCACTGTGATTTGACATTCTTTGTTTCAATTCATTTTCTTCAAATATATATACGTACTTATTTACCAATGTTTTCCACTGTCGTTTACCAGGTAACGAGCCCGTTCTTATACAATCTAAAAAAATACCATACAATGTATACTTGCGTAGGATCCGTACAATATCTGGTATGAACCCACTTTGTTTTGCAATTATATAAAACAGAGCTTTCAACATGTGTGTACATTTCTTGTAATATGACCCATATTTTACCCCTCAAACCCATTTCATGTAATTTAAATAAAAGGCCAGCATGCCAAACTGTATCAAACGCCTTGTTGCTGTCTAAAAAGGCAACATATACGTTTGAGCCATTTTCTATATTATAATTCACACATTCTTGTAAGTTAAATGATGTACACATGCTACAAAGATTCTTTTGGTATGCAGACTGTTGCTTGTTCGGAAACGTGTTTGAACACAGTACCGAGTCTATTCTACTTGAAATAGCCATTTCGAATAGTTTAAACATGACAGACAGAAGGGTGATTCCCCTGTAACTATTGGGATCATCTTTTACTTTCCCTTGACCTTTATACAACGTTACAATGATTCCCTTTTTCCATGGCTTAGGGATGTATCCTTTTTGTATTATAACATTAAATAACTTGGCCATGTGTTTAGACAGAGTTCTGCTACCATACTTAATGTGTTCGTAAACTAAACCATCATGGCCTCCAGCTTTTTTAGAATTAAGTTTTTTACACAACAGTTGTATTTCGGAAAATGTAATCACATCTCCAAGAAAATTATCTTGTTCAAATTTCCAGTTTGACTGTATATGCTTTTATATTCGCATCAATAAATTTGAAAAAGTCTGTATCGAAGCATTCATCAGAGTTATCTTGGTATATAATTTCAAAGTGTGACGCCCAAGCATTAACAATCTCTTCTGGATCACGTAATGTTTTCCCATTGTACTTTAGTTCAGTTAGAACATGGGATTTTTTCCGTGACTTTCTTTTATATAATTGACAAAACAGTATTTGATCTACCTCTTCACTTCTATCAATTTCTGAAAACTGCTTTGACATATACACATTGAAAGCTTTTCTCAAGTTCATACGGAAAATTGTTTTAGACTTTTTATAATTAAAAAAACTTGTACTATTAGATCTTGGTCTACCTTCTGAAATCCAAATTTGTCTTGTATTAGTCATCGATTTATGAATTCTAGACAATTCCTTATTCCAATATGGTTTTAGATAACTTTTATACACACTTTTAGGCAATGCAGCATCAGAGGCTTTCTTCATAGCTAATACAATATTATTACAGTATACATCGATATCTTCGTTACTTGCGTCACTTTCAGGTATACTTACGAGGCTTGAATTATCATCTAAACATCTTCTATATTCTTTGAGAAGACCGTTAGTTATTGCCTTCTTCCAGTTATACTTTACATAACCAGACTGTACATTAAGAGGTGGAGAGACAGGCACTGATAAAGAACATATTACAGGATTGTGCTCGGATAGATTGTGCAAATCTTCGTCTAAAACTTCACAGAAATTGATGAGATCAGCTGTGTTTGATTGAACTAATATATGATCGATGGATGTACAATTTCCTGTTTGGGGGTAAAATGTATATACTGGAACGTGACAGTTGGGCTGTACATTAACCGAAAATAAATTTACTCGGTCTAAAAATTATTGAAATAAGTCTGACCTTTCATTGTTTTCAAATTGATATCGATCACCACGTATCTTAACGTTTAAGTCACCAATGATAAAAACTTTTCCCTTTTCAGAATAAACTGTGAAAAGTGCCTCCAGAGTTTCGATATGATCGATGAACATTTCAATTGGCCTCGTTCAGGCTGGCATGTATACTGAGAAACAATATTAATTTAAAATTGTAATTGTAACACAACTTTCACCTTGGTGACCCGTGTTTGATTTCCTCATCGGGTGTGAAAAGGTATGGAGTCACCTGCCCGACCCCGCGGGGTTTCTTTCTTCCTCCACAGTACGTACTCGTGTGCTTCAATCCGTCTCAGCAGAGTGCTTTTGTTTATATGTGTTTGTCGTATTGATACTTTAAATCC